CCTGTCTTGTAACAGATATGATAGCTTAGCTGTCCTAACTGATATGTTACCTGTCTTGTTTGCTGATATGTTATACCTCATGGTGGGGACTATTTAGAAATGGAAAATAAAATAAAGGTGAATTTTCCAGATTTTGAAAAAGTCAGCCTGACATCTTAAAATTATTCCTACATTAAATATACATTAAATTACAAGTGAACCATTTAAGGTTTGACATTGATTATCTTATTATGATTACTCAGGCTAACAACGCTGATGACCCATTTCCTATATGGGGCACGTGCATGGGCTTTCAACTATTGACATATTTAACAAGCGGAGAAAATCTTTTGACAGACACCAATTCAACACTCGTCTCATACCCGTTGTATTTCCAACAAGGTTAGTAATAATTCACTTTAGTTTTAAAGGTTCATTCAGGTTAGTTGCATTGGACAGTTTACAAAATATTTGTAAATTATGAAAACATATATGCACATACAAAGTTTTTATTAAATTATTGGTATTCATATTTGTAAGTGTAATTAATTTGAATTTATTTATTTGTTGTAATTTTTTTTTAAATTTTGGTAAATGCGAATTCACAGTAAAAGTAATGCAAAATAAGATGTATGTAATAATAATAAAAATAAATTTAAAAACAAATCATACCACTTTCCCATCAAAATCCAAGCCAAAAAATCAGACAACAACATTGGCAAATCTCTTCTGTGCTGCGTTCAATAACATTACCATATTTAAATGAGCTATGGTAATTTGAACACGTTAGCATCATCCATCGTTTTCATTGGTTAATTAGCGATTTGACCTATCAGAACAACATTCCAGGTCAAAACATGACGGATATTCATTTCTACAGCATCAAGCATTGAAAGTACGATCGGAATCATTCGCTTATGATAAAATAAGTTGAAATTTATTTTCATTTCATAACAATTCAACAAATTTATTTTTTGCACGTTATTATAATCATTACTAGGTAATCAACAATTGTAAAACGCAGCATGACCGGTTTGCGCTACCACAATCATTTGCTACTAAGAAATGCAGTTGGGTTTGTTTTTATTTGAAACTTCTTTTAGAATATACTTTCGTTACTAATAGAATGAAACAAAATAATTGTATTTGTCGCACAAGGTTCGTTAATGTTTAATTTTTTGAAGATGCACGGCCTACTTTTTACTCCAGCAAGAAAAAAAATGTATAAAATTTTAGATTAGCTTCTGCAATAGTTTCTTTCATTTTGGGTGGATTTTTCAATGCAAATATAAGCCCCCAAAAAATATTTGATGATAATTTTTTGAAATTTTGAACCCCAAATGGGTGAATTTACGGCAGAATCCGGTATATGTATAGTATCAAAACAATCAGACTTGCATTTTAAAAAAAGAAGTTGAAAAAGTAAACAATGACGACGTACAATCAGTAATATGATTAACTCTGCTTTGTGGAAGAATTATTTTTTAGCTTTTCATGGGTTTTTTCCAGACATTTTTATCATATTTTATTAAATTTTATTAAGGTTAAGTTTTTTGTAATTAAATACAATGCAGGGGAGACCCGAACAGGCAACGAACACCTGCAATATTCTCGACCAAGGAAATATGCAAAAACTTAGCCTCATGCCCACCTGCATTTGCATGTGTTGTCTGTTTTTATTTTGTCTTCAGCTCCTGGTTTTATCTTTCAAGAGGTTCTTTTTGTATGATACCCATTATGAGTCTTAATGCTTCTTTTTGTGGTGAGCAACAGGTTTTCATATCTTTCATAAATTTTCACTGCTAGCATACATTTTGCTTGAAGAGTCTTCTTTTCAGGTATGATGTGGCTATACTATGTTTTGTTATGGCCTGGGACTGTCTTTTTCTTTTCCAGTGAAACAATATATATTTTAATATTCTACATTTTCAAATGGATTTTAGTGTATGTTTATTCTGTGTGTATTTAGATGTTCTAATCTTGGTGTTTTTCCAGTGATTTCTCTTGGTGCAATCCAAATACAGTAGGTGTGTCTTGTTTATCTGAGATTTGCAAGAGTTTGAGCTGGCCAACATGTTAGTTTTTTTGATATGATTGATTACTGGCATGTTGATTTCCCATTTTTGAGCCATATTTTCAACTTTCTTCATCATTTTCATATAGCAATCTCGTCAAATGTTAACATTGTCGTCTATGGAAATTCAATTAGTGGTATGAGCCCTTCAGTGGGCTTTCTGTGACAGCTCCCTCATTGTCCTAAATTGTCTTACATGATATAGCGCCCTCACAGCCCTAGGTGAAGTTCCAAATAAATTTGGAATAAAGTTCCAAATTTTGATAAAGAAAATAGTCAGAATAAATTCATTTTGATTATGGCAAACCATACTCTAGCACCAGCCTTAGCAGTCTTCCTAAAAAACAGCTATGGAACAAAACAGCAACAACTATCAGTGTATTAGGCTACATTTTGTGTTCATTCCATATTCTGTATTCACCATTGGCTGCAAATTGTCTTTATTGTTTTTGATTTTTTTTATTTTTTTTAGAAAAGTTTTTATTTTTTGTTTTCTTTTTTAGATTGTAGTTTGTTTTAATTTCTTTCTGTAAGACCCTTTCTATCCTTTCCTAAGGATTTTATGCGTCTAATAAAAAAAAAAAAAAAAATATCTTTCGTTTATTACTGTATGCATGTGATACCATTTTGATACCATTTTTCATATGAGTGTCTTCTTTCTCAGCTCATATGTTTGTGATTAAAGGGACTGAGCTGCCCATTATGCCCAACAGTACTGTGTATGTGTCTTGTGTTTTGGTAAGCCACTAATGTATTTTACTTATCAGTGAAAATAGTCAATAATTAATGCAGTATATGTATTTATAGCTCTACTTAGCTTACTTGGTAGTTAATTATTGACTTCAATTTTTATCTATCTACTGTAAAATATACCTGACTGGATTCATCCTGTTTTTTTAGTGGTATGTACATATTTCAGCACGTATACCAGTGATAATATTTTATGTTATACCTTAATTATAAATAAATTATTTCAGTAATTTTCTTGTTGGTTGGACACTATTAACTGTTAAAGTTACATAATTAAAATAAAAGATAATATCAACAATGTAGCTAAATTAACTTGTAGCAGTGCATTGTGGGTAAGATTAAAACTAAATTAAATGCAAATTGTTTTAAATTTTGTAACAATATTACAGTAGATTCATGTGAATAACAATGAATTTTTTAGTCGATGTCAATGAGAAAAATGTCTGCATATGGGAAAAAAAAACTTTCACCATAGTAGTTATATACTGATAATGTTCAACAATAAGTCAGATTTTTCATTAACCCCAATTTTGTTGTTATTCTCTGTAGCTAAAATATTACATTTAATTGTTGAATCAATCAATGCAATGATTTATTGCTTTTACCAAGAAAAACTGAATATGCATGACTTAATTTGCACATTGCCCACCAGGAAACGAGATTATTGATGAAGGGGTTAAACAGAAAGTGATAAATAGGATTCCATGAAAATGCAATAATTACATGTCACTATTTTCTTTTAAAAAATGTATATGTATAAATGGAAAGATAAAACAGTACATTGAAGACAATTACACCATAAAAACAAAAAAGCTGCCCCTCATTATTTTACCCTAAACCCCCCATGACATAATGAAGCTTGACAATTTGCACACTGCACTAATCTATTGTGTTGTGTACAAAAAGGGGCATCTATCAGGTTATCACCTATTTATTACATTCTTCATGATTATTAAAGTTTCATAGATAGCTAAAATATCGCAAATTTTCAACCAGGAAATATTGTTATGGCTCACACCCAATGATATCAACAACACTTGCAGATTCAGCAGCCAATAATGTACACTTGGGATGATATATACTTGTGGGAACAAAAGGCTTTTGTGAATAAGGTCATCTAAGTTCATCGATTCTTTTGAAAACTCGCGTCAACACCATACCATGTTATAAATAGCTTTGGTTGCAGTTTTAATCGGACTCTTAGCACGGCTGTAAGGTACGCAATTCATTCAGGATTAAGCAACCACAGTACGCAACATGGCTACAAATTTCTCAACTGTCAAGGATAAAATTCAAGATGATATTCTGACATGCAGCCTCTGTTTTGAAATCTTCAAGATTCCCAAAGTTCTACCTTGTCTACATTCCTTCTGTCAACACTGTCTGGAATCATGGGTACATACCAATGCTGGGAAATTGGAGTGCCCGATGTGCAGATTAGAAGTTCCAAATAACGAGATCGCCACTTTACAAACAAATTTCATACTGACTGGACTCCATGATTATTTGGTAACCGTGAAAGAGCTTGAGAAAGAAAACAAATGTGGAGCTTGTGAACAGGCTGTTGCAATCACACGATGTCTCGACTGCACCCAGAACCTGTGTGAAACGTGTACCACTGGGCATAGAAACCTCACAGTAACCAGGCGGCACAAGGTCATCGACTTAGTAGCGTACACTTCAGGTGCAAAAATATCACAGCCGACAGTATACTGCGAACGACACCATAAAAGACCTGTTGAGCTTTACTGTGAAACTTGTCAGACACCAATCTGTAAAGAATGCACTTACATGGAACACTCACAGCCGAATCATCATCATAAATCATTGAATCAAGCAGCACAGGACAGCAAGCAACACCTGTTAACCCTTATTAGGGAATTGAGGTCTAGCATGATCAGTGTAGATGAAACGACAAACATGGTCAGTCAAGAATTGAAAAATCTTCAGCTAAGTCATGACAAAGTTGACAGGATGATTGATGACCACGTACAGAAGACAATTAACGATATTCTTGAGAAACAGACTAAATTAAAAAAAGAACTCTCTCAGATTTATGAAAACAAGAACCACTCGTTGGAGTCGCAGAAACAGGAGCTAGCAACAAAAAAAGCAACGTTGGAGAGTGCAAAGGATTATGCTGAAAATTTGATTAAATATGCCAGTCCTTCCCAATATTTAAAGTCAATGAAAAGTTTGATAGAACGAGCCGAACATGTGTTGACTAATGTGGATGAAAAACCTAATGTTGATGGTGTAATTATTTTCCATTCCAATAAAAATCTTGCAGATGAAGAAATTGGTCAGCTTGCTTGTACGAAGCCAATAATGCACTTCCGTGCTCGATACCACCGAAAGACTGCAACAACCTAACGGCAAACAATTTTTTTACAAAATTAATACATTGTACAAAATTGCTAAATTAATTATAACAAATGAAAATATACATGTAATTCAGCATGGTTTCTGCATGGCTATCAAAATGAATTATTTTGCAATAGAACAACGTAATATTAGTGTACAGTTGAAAACACATACCATAGTTCTATTTTTAGCACAGGTGCTTGCATACCGATAT